CTCTGGCCTGAATCATTTTGGGAATTGCTGCATGTGTAACCCGCTGGTCAGTGTGTGTTGTGTCCCCTTCTATGTGTGTGTGTGTGTGTGTGTGTGTGTGTATTTTTTTTTTTTACCAATATAGTCCTGGTGTGGACATAGTTATACCAATTTAAAGGTGCCTTATACCAGCATAACTTATTCCCCTTCCCATGTGGGAATAAACTATACTGGTATAAGCTCACTGCTTCCACACCAGAGGAGCTTTATTGCTTTAACTATACTGGTATAGTTAAAGTGGTACAACTTTTGTGTATAGACAAGGCTTGAGGTTGGGTTAAAAATCATGAGCTTTACTCCTTCCCCTCCAAATGATTGGGATCAATTTATTTATCTTGTGTTTTTCTTAACTTTTAGGGTACAATTGCCTCCCATTTTTGAGCTTTTCTCTGTAATTATGAGGGCTTTTAAAAAAAGAAAGCTGTGATTGCATGGGAATCTCATGACTCCAGTCGCTAGGGCTTTAAGAAAACTACCAAATATCTCAAGACTCGCAAAAAAATGAGAGTTGGCAATACTGCAGTCCATTACGTTGTTGATACACCTCTACCCCGATATAACGCTGTCCTCGAGAGCCAAAAAATCTTACCGCGTTCTAGGTGAAACTGCGTTATATCGAACTTGCTTTGATCTGCTGGAGTGAGCAGCCCCGACCCCCCGGAGCACTGCTTTACCGCGTTATATCCGAATTCGTGTTATATCGGGTCGCGTTATATCGGGGTAGAGGTGTATTTAAATAATAGCCTTTCACTGAGCTGCTTGCTTCTTCAAGAGTTCTGCTGGTCCCAGTCGGGATTGGGGTTGCATTGTGTTAGGTGCTGTACAAACACATAGTTGAAGTTTTACCAGTGGGAGCAGAGTTAGGCCAACGCTGCTTTTGAGAATCCCCTGCTGTGCTCCTAAGTAGACCTGTGCCAATAGTGAATCTTTTGATGCACTGGCAATTCTGAAAAATTAAAAAAAAAAAAAAAAAAGATTTGGGGTTGAACGGAAAACAAAATGTTGGGTGAGTTGAAAATCATTTTGGATGGAACAAAATGTTTCATTTCTAATTTGAGCCTTTTTGAAATGTTTCAATTGTAAAAAAATAGAAAATAAAGGAAAGGATATTTTAAAATGGAAAGACAGATATTTTTTTTGAATTTTTTTTTTAGTTTTCGACTGACATTTTTTTTGGGCAGAACTGCCACGTATTCATGAAAGGTTTTGGTGCCACCAAATCTGCATTTTTTCACCCACAAGGAATTTTGGTTGATAAATAGCACCCCACTCTCCTCCTAAGTCACTTTGAAAATCTTGTGCACTGTGAGCAAAATAGGAAATTGCTTCTAACTAGTTGCACATTTTTGTTTTGTTTTTAAACAGAGAGTCGACGAAGAGGCAGTGGTGGATCAAGGTGGGACCAGTAATGTCGTTAATATTCATTATGAGAAAGAAGAGCTGGAAGGTAAGGTCCAAGGCTGCAGCTGATAACTAGATTTTTCAGTTTTTCTAGTACATCATTAACATCTAGCTAGATGGAACCTGGAGTAAATGTGCTTCTTGGCTAATAAAGTTCCAGATCAGATAAATGATTGGCCATAACTCAACTTTCATCAGTCTCTTTGCGATTGGATGGCCCACCCATTAGCGCCGTGAGTTACTTTTCTTTACACACCTGAGGCCTGGTGTTCCGTTGTGCAGTGGTTTACACCAGTGCAAAGTGAGGTGCAAATTGTCACCATTCGGGCTTGGCAGCATCTTACGCCCACTGCGGTAAATGGCAGCACGAGGACAGAACAACAGAGAATCAGGCCCTTTGGACACAGTTGAACTTTGCATGGCTAATTCAGCAGCGTTACATTTTTGTACGAGTTGGAAGACAAAATGCACAAAGAGCCATTGCCTGGGCTGCAAAAGAGTCTCATTCCCATCAGTCTGGCAGTGCACATGAGACTCTGGCCCATTAACTGGTCTTATGCTAAAGAGTAGCAGTGGGACTTGAGAGCAGATCTGGGCAATACGTGGGTAGTCTGTGATTTGTCATGTGACAAACTGAGCCCTAATGTTCTATATGCCATCATGAGCCAGCAATGCCCCTCTGCCATGTACATTGGCCAAACCGGACAGTCCCTCCGCAAAAGAATAAATGGACACAAATCGGACATTAGCAATGGTAACATACATAAGCCAGTAAGTGAACACTTCAATCTCCCTGGTCATTCTATTACAGATTTAAAAGTCACTATCATTGAACAAAAAAACTTCAGAAACAGACTTCAAAGAGAAACAGCCGAACTAAAATTCCTTTGCAAATTTAACACCAAAAAGAACAGGAGTACTTGTGGCACCTTAGAGACTAACAAATTTATTAGAGCATAAGCTTTCGTGGACTACAGCCCACTTCTTCGAAAGC